CTTCAGTCACCGCTTCCTCCAAACTCTTCCTGAGATTTGTGAGTAAAGTTTCATTCTTTATCATTTTCTTACGAACGAGAAACTGTATGACAATGAAGTATTTCTATTATATAAAATACGAACTGAGTTTTGGTTACTTAACATAAAGGTGCTGAAAAATGTCGTTACATGATCGAGCAAGCAACAGCATTAGTTTTCTGCATAACAGGGCTATATCAGACGGGACATAAGTAACAGATTCATGAGTATTGTACTAGGTCCAAATTTTGCAAGGAAATCATAATTTTATAGCGAAAAGTTATTAATTTGTAACGACCATTTACGAAATTTAATTGCAAATTAATAGAATTTACTTTAACCCTCTTTTGGACTCTATACTTCGAAGAGAATCATGAAACTGAATAAATATTTTTACATCCGTAACAGAAGCGAAGCCCAGAAAGCGCAGTCGGTTAGCGGCTGGCAACCGGCTGGCTACCGGCTGGACAGCCCAGGGGTCGGAGTCCCGGTAAGGACAAGAGTTTCTCCTCTCTGCGTCGTCGAGACGGGTTCTAAAGCCCACTCAGTCCCCTATCCAATGATTACCGGGGACTCTATCCCCGGGGGTAAAGCGGCAGGGACGTGAAGCTGCTCACACACCTCCAACCTGTGCCGAGGTCAAGAAAATGTGGCTCTATAGACCCACTCCCCATAAGTTTTCATGGCGTAATGATTAATTGGGCACAGGACTTCAGTTATTCTACCGTACACCCATAGCAGATGAAACGCTGAAATTCGTCCGGATTTGCTAAAAACAAAACAGAGGAAACATGAATTAAATTTTTTTTTCTGACAAGTGCGGTTGAAGTAGATGCCAAGGTCTGGATTCTGCAGCTGCGACCTTGATCTTAAAGAGTTAGGGGCGCAGGTGTGAGTCTGCGGAATGCTCATTTGTAGAAAAACAAAAATTACACTCTTGAAATTGTTTTGTTCACTGAGTTGGCTGCAAACGCTTTCGTAGTCTAGCATTCATTTCTGATGCTCCGTATTCAGGAGTTCGGATTCGAACCCAACAGAGTAGGTGCCTGCCACCCCTCACCTGAGGACGGAAACAGATAGGTTCCGAGATGTTGTGTTCTGTTGTGAAGCCTGAACACCCAGTAGTCCTTAGATTGATATTTTTGATACCTAAAAGGAAATATAAAAAAATAACAACCTAATTACTCTTGAGAAGATAATAGATTCTTAGCTGATAAAGAAATTTCCCACTTAAAATCTGAAGCTTCACTGGCGTATTTACCAGCTCCAGCCAGACAGACTCTATTAAGAGCCGGAATAGTCCAATCCACGCGATCACACCCTAAAGAGATCATTTTAATATTATCCCTCTATATGCTTCCAGGTCTCCAAAACTGTCACATCTCTTTGGGTTTTTAGGTTTTAACATATTGTTTCTGTTTCTCTACGCTCTTCCATGCGTGCTACATTTGAATGGTAATTCCCACACTTTCTTTAAAAAATAATGAAATTTTTTTTTTAAGTGAAACATTTTGTTTCGTTATTTCAAAACGGTACGAAATCCTGAGCTCTGAAGTGATTTATGAGCTGCTGAGATTTCTGATGCATTTTAGGAGGAACATTTTCGAAAACTCCAAAAACTGTACCAGCAAATTGAGTAAGAACTCATAAAGAATAATCTAAAATATATTTTTCGGAAAAGCTTCCCAATATATGTCGAAGGATCACTCTTGTTCGACAGGCAAATACAAACAGGACATACATTAACTTCCCCACTGCTTATTGTTACGTATGAAATCACAGCTATTACATTAATGCAGAAACTGTAATTAGTCGCACTGCACACGCGCCATGAATGCAACTTTCTGTGCGCGTTGAATCACTTCTGGACAGCGCTTCTTGCGTATGATTCGACAGTCCTGGAAGAATCCTTCGTTCCTAGGAAACCCATGGCTGCTATCGCTGAAGGTCACCAGACCTGAATATAACAGAAAAATACGGTATCGAAATATACGGAAAGTATCAAATATGTCAGATTTGAGGCATTCACGGCGGTGACTATGAAGAAAGCAGTATTCTGGGATTTGGCACCGTGTATATGTGTTAACCGACGTTTCGGAGGAACGTATGGCCTCCATCTTCAGGGTAGAAGGAAAAATATAAGAAATCAGCAAGCGAAGAGACCGTGAGAACTGGTAAAAGCAGACTGGTATTGAGTATGCCAAGGACCCTGAGAGCTATACCAGCGGTAGCGTAGCTACTGGCAGGGTCTCCCTTGCTGGACAGGTCAAAGGGTAGGCATCAGACGAAGAGAGAGACTAAGTCCATTGTACTGCGGCCACTTCTGGCCTATTTTACCAGCCCCAGATGATAGGTGAGGGTGATTGTGGAGCAGGGAAACCGAAGTACTCGGAGAAAACATGCCCCAACACCACTTTGTCCACCACAAATCCTACTTGACCAGACCCGGGATCGAACCCGGGCCGCCGCGGTGGGAAGCCAGCGACTAACCGCTTGAGCTATGGCGCGGCCCGTAGCCACCTAGCAACGGACGTCTCTTCTAATTACACATTCCGGCTTTTAGCGGGCATGCAACATTACTCCCTCCTTTAACTGATGAGTAACTAAAAATTTCGAACCTGTTCGAGGTTCACACTTTTTTTTTCTACAGAAGGTCCAGAAGAATAATGCGTTTACCTAGACCCCAGATGCGGCCACCACGAAATTCTCCCTCAAACTTCATCCCATCGGATCTCCAGAATACTCCGTGTCCGTGGAACCAACCCTGCATAAATTCGCCCTCGTACCTGCAGAAAAAAGCAACATCACAAAAAACCTATCCAACCGTCGAAGCCAGTCAACTGTTTATTGTCATTCAGTCGCTGGCCAATTTCAAGTGTTTCTATGCCTACATGCACTTTTGTCCCACTTTTCTTTTTCTATATATCATCATAACTTAACTGGTCGATTGCAAGAACATTGTGTGAAGACCACCGAGGGGGGCTAATATACTCAGTAACCAATTTACGTACAAAGCTGCTGTTTAAAGCTTCACATTAGCAGAGATCTAAGGAGAATAAATTGAATATACACGTAAGTACCTCTGTGGAGCATACTACTTCTTCAGGTAATAATTATCACTCAAATGGTCAAGAAATTTCTGCCTTAAGTGGAATTCGAAGATTCATTATCGCTTTCAGAAGAGTACGCCACTGGACCATTTCACGAACCAGATTAATTCAACTTACACTCACTGAGTCTATTTCTCTAAGATTCATTACAACCTTATCCTCCCATCTAGATCTAGGTCTCTCAAGGTATGTTTTCTTCTCTTTAGGTTGTCCATCTAAGATTTTGTATCGATTTCTCATGTAGCCGTGCGTGCTACGTATCGAGCTCATCTTACCTTCATCGATTTGATAAGCGTAATAATATTTTCATATTATGAAGCTCACGATTATATACTTTTTTTTCCCAATCTTTCTATCACTTCCTTCTCTTAGACGAGAAAGTTCTCTAAATGAAATAGGTCTGCATATTTTAATTTTAAATATACGTATTAGTTTAGAACTCTTCACTGCTCTTGTAACATAATAAAATAAAGAAACCACAATGCGATAAAGTTTACTTTGAACTTATTTCTGTTAATTACTGTTACTTCAGTTACTAGTTTCTTATTGTATATACTTAAATCATCACATGAAAATTTAATCAATATAAAGTTGTCCTTGCACTTAAGCGCCAAGCAATTTGGAATGCATGGAGAAATGGTGTTAGAACTTCAGGCGTTCTTGACCCTAGGAACTTAGGTGAATGGTAAGCTCTGGACACTTTATGCCCTTTGGATAACAAGTAGGTTAGGTGGGCCCACAGCTCATCTGGACATGATGACAAACAGGAAAGTATTTTAATTTTTCCATTTAAACATTTTATTATAATCATAAATGTTTTCTTATGGAGCCACAAAATCAAATTTTACATGTTGTTTTATACAAGGGTGACATTTAGTGACTCAACATGAGGAAGATGTTGTAGAACAGGTTACTGCAGGTAATATTCTGACTTAAGAGGGAGGAAGTGAAAGAAGAATGACAAAAGAACACAATAAGAAGCTTCATAATATGTAGTTCTCAATACATATCATTAGGGCAATTAAATTGAGGATAAAATGAACTGGAAATTTAGTACCGACATGGAAGGTAAGAAATTCATATCAAGATTTCAGTTGATAAGTCTGAAATAAAGGGACCTCCTGAGAGATGGTGATTACACTAAAATTGATCCTACAGGAACAGGTAATGAGGATGTGGATTGGATTCAGGTGGGTCAGGATAGAGTCAAGAGATGGTCTCCTGTGAGAATGGTATTGGGCCTTTCGGTTTCAAAAAAGAATAATTTCTTGACTAGTTAAGCCATTATAAGCTCTAGGAGGACTCTGCTTCATAGATTTGGTAATTAATTACAGTTAGTATATTAAACTATATACCCACCGAGCGACCACCGCTTGTCTCCGAAGTTAGTGCCAATGTTAGGGGATAGAGGGCGTCATGTGGTCAGTGCAACGAATCCCCATGGACGTTAATTTCGGTTTTCTAGACCAGAGCCGTTATTTCTTGTGATAGGTCCTCAATTATCATCTCGAGGCTAAGTGGACCCCGTTCCAGACCCACTACTTCTCAGAAAAGAATCTGGTAGCACCGGGAATCGAACCCGGACTTCTGGGTCTGTAACCAGGAACTCTAACCACTAAACTACAGAGGCGGTCAGTATAGTTCGCTTGCGGACTAAAACCACCGAGTTTGTTGTTTGTTATTTATATTAAACTATATCTGAGGTAAACAGGTTAAGATGGTGGTGCATTGTACTGAAGTGAGTAAGTGGGTCAAAATAGCTCAGAGGCAGGCAGGCGGTTGGATGGATGGGTGGACGGACAGGCCCCTGGGCAGGTGTCCATACTTGGTCCTAGTCAGTCAAGTAACTTGGAAAGAAGCAAGCATTCATACTTGGCTCCATCAGGAAAACACATGACACCAAGGCCAGCACAGAGTCCATTCTGGAAGGCGCCATCATATCGTGTGCCATCAGGCAGAGAGAGGTGCCCCATACCATGCTTCTGACCACGTTGGTTCCAGTCGCCCACATACTGCGTCCCATCCTTGTAACGGTAAGCACCAGTCTTGACAACACCATGCACCACTGCAACATGGCATCTCCATTCTGCAGCAGTGGGCACATGGGGATATATGGAATTGATTGAGAGCCAGAGGGCCTCACAAAGGAATATATACTTCAAGGATAGTTAAACAGCTATCAATTATTCACAGAAAGTCAAACTTTAATAACTGTATATAATTATATACAGTTATTAAAGTTTGACATATTATAATATGTAGGAACTATGCTACCATAAACACAACAAATATTTCAGTATTACATTTAGATTTTTATTTACTGGGACACGTTTCGGTAATACATGACCACCATCAGGCGGAATATGTATAGTTATTGAAATACTGATATGGATCCTTATCGGTGTGTCATATTAAATATTAACATAAAAACTTTGCCTCATATTATATATATATATTGTCTGAGACACACAACAGGATTCAAACAATGAAAAAGAAAATAATAACTGCGATCGTGTTTCCAAAAAATAGGTGGAATTGTAGGCATTTTGTTCCTTAATTTATTTCCGCTTGAGTCTGTCTTGTGGTTTAGAACATAAGTTGATATGGGAAGAAGAAAGAATATTCAGCATCTTGTGACTAATATTTTATACTACAATTTTCCTTAGTCTTTCTTAAACAGATATATAAATAGGGTCACTGTGCCAAAATTTTAACTCAAAATATTTTTCAAGATTTTTCTTTTTCAGTAATTATGTGTACATGTGCACTGATTTTCAGATATTACTTTAAACTGTGGTTTGTTGAAAGGATATAAAAAAGACCTACAAATCCCGGATAATAACTGTTATTGAGCAAATAATTTGTCACTGAAAATCTCAACAAGCAAATAAATTCCTTGCTGAAGTTGCTGCAGATTGAACAGCAAGGAAAAGAATATGTTGCTTTTACTTATTGTAAGATTTTGGGGTGGCAAACAAATTTGTAATTTCAGGAATAAAATTTGGCATTATGTTAAAGTCATATAATAATTTATTTAGGAACAGCGATGTATTAGTATTAGAATATTTGGCCACAAGAATGCAGTTTGAAAATTACAGAAACCATGAGACCATTAGAGATGTGTATGAAACACCACTGAATTATATTTATTCAGTAGGCACAAAAACATAATGACTATACTAGGGCTGAAGAGTGGGTTTAAGAGTGCATACTTACAGGCCTCCATTGCTGAGCTGCTTTATTCAGAATGGTTGTGATTAACTTCTATGCTTGCAGCTGAAGCCATACAAATTGTCTTATCGTGTTACTGCACTCATTTGGTTTCTTTTCATGATGTTCTGCCCTGATATGTTAGAATGAAGTAACTGTTAAGTTTCCTGAGAACTGAAGCCTGTTCCTGCTTTTTAAATGCACTGCTCTCAAATTCTCCTAGTGGACTATGAAAATACCAACAGTATTAAGTTGGTTGCTTAAAAAATAGATTGCAGTCGTCTAGTTTGTAATGCTATGTAATATTGGGGAAGACGACTGTCATTTGGAAGCAACTTGCTTCCCCTGTCTTCACTGTAGTAGTAATCTTGCATATTATATGAAATACATGCCACTGCCAAATATCTGACAAGGGTTTCCTTAACATTAGCTGTTTAGGTTTCAATGTAGTTAAGATCTTTCCCTCAGTCCACATTTGGGGACAGTCACAGAGTTCATCATCACCAAAACCACCACCACCATCACCTCCATTAGTTTTGGTGCATTAGACACAATAGACTTCTCTGATTCCAAGATTTGCTTTCAGTATTAGTATTTCCAAATGTGAGTCCTACAACTGCCTTACAGCATGTGAGCACCATATCTTTTTCTCTGAACATGTTATTAGTGTGTTCTTGAGGAAAACTGATAGCGGAGCAGAAATCCTTTGTGCTATCAGCAAAGTCCACTGCTTGTACTAATCCCAAATCCAAAATAGAGAATTTCCTGTTCTGCTAGAGTTAATGATTACAAAAGAGAACTCCATCCTGTAAACCCAAAGTAGGCTCTCCACTTTTTTATGGCTCCTTGTTAGAGGTGTCCCAATATTTTAACCCCCTGGAATGGGGCCTTACTTAATAAATTTGGATACATCTGCAACCTGTAGGACATGCGTGATGGGGATTTCAGTGGAATTAAAACTTGACTCAGTCAGATACAGTACTATTATTCATGAAGTCTTCCAAAGATCAGTCATAAAATTAAAATACTTTAAATCAAATACAATGCTTAACACTCTACTTTGACAGGTTGATAACTTCCTTGAGATGTTAATAACTTCTCAACTGATAAAGAAAATTTATATTGTAGAATAGAGCAATTCATTTCCATGATTATCAGAGTGTATGATTGAATCCTACACTGAGCCAAATCAATCTTTTTCACATTTGTATTACATATTACTGAATGATCTGGGTTTTAAAGAAATATGAAGGAGGGAAGAAACAAAAGGAAGTGGTAATGATATACTTAAAGTTACTAACCCAACATCTTTCTAGAAGGACAGAGAGAGACCACATCAACCAGGGCTGAACAACTAACAACTGCTTGCATAAAGGAGTTACTTAAATGAGGTGTTTGTGTAAGAGGAAACATAAATATCATAATGAGTTAACAATGATATGATTGTTCATGGTTTGTAACTACATTCAAACAGATCTTTGCATGTATCACATTGTGTAAATATTGCAGTAACAACCAATAAACTATCTGAATCTGTAGCAGCATTTAATTCCTGAGAACAGCAATAGGAAATGAAAGAAATTATGTGAAGAATAATTTCAGAAAATGTGTTAAACCTACAGATATTCTGTTGGATCTGAGGATCTCTCACATGTGGCTATGAAGAGTTATGTCTTCTGGAATATAATGTTGTGTAATCTGGAGAAAGTCAACTGATGCTTTGGAGGAACAAATCACAGGCTCTGCTTGCTGCCTGCTTGGCTTACTCTTCATCCCTGAAGATGGAGAAGATATATTCATCTGATATGTCAGTTGACTTTCAACAGACTACATGTCTCTATAAGTCAGCAGACAGAAATCTCCACAGATACATTTTTGCATTTCAAAATACTTAAGGTTAATGGAATATAATTTAGACTTAAAGGTATTTAAAAGTGCAGAACTGAGAAACCTCACGATTTCTGTTGACCTTACAGTATACTTCCAATAATTAAACCAAGAAGTTCAAATTGAGAGGATATGTAGCTTACATGGAAGAAGTAAGAAATTTATAGGGACTTGCAGAACTTTGGTGTCAAAATTTCTTGAAAAGTGATGAATGGGATTGGGTAAGGGTAAGTTTAGCTTTCATGTTGGCAGTGCTGAATCCAAACCAGACAATAAATTAATGTGTTTCTTTTTGTTTGATAGTATAGTTATCTCTGCCAATCAGAGTGGCTGTCTGGCCTAAGACACATACTGTTTTTGCCCCCTTGAACACTGGAGTTGTGGATTCGAATCCCACTCAAAGCATAGATGTCTGTGTGCATTTATTCTGGGTTTATGTTGTTCTATGTGCAAGTAGCAGCCTCGTGATGGATTGATCTCCTGTCCAAGAAGTCCTACTGACTGTATATAGGATTAAGAATCTGGAAAGCGGTCAAGGTCCAAAGGGCTGTAGCACCATAGATAGAAGAAAAAGAATTATACTTAATGTAATAGAACAGTGATGTATTGGGTTATAATGCAGTACTCTTCATATTTGCTGCCTATGAGAATATCAAATTCAACATTTCAAACAGAATCTCTGGAAATTTTATCGTAAATCATGATTTATATTTCTCAAGAAATTTACATATATATATATGCACTGTACTAGTGACAGTGAAAATGTGGTTTGAATTTNATCGTAAGTCATAATTTATATTTCTCAAGAAATTTACATATATATGCACTGTACTAGTGACAGTGAAAATGTGGTTTGAATTTTACTTGTAAAACTCTGTAAGTCTTTTGGCTTCTCTCCAGCCTGATTCAATGGCTCCATGAACAGTTGAATAATAGGAACTGTGTGTGGCTTCCCCAGCAAACAGCAAAACCTGTGATGAAGTAAAGAATAATATGAGATAAGAGTCAGTACTTGGCAAGATTCAACTGGTAACTAACTACTGGTAAATCATGAAGATACAAAAATGTATACACATATTAAAATAAGACGTAAATTACCACCTAAATACATCTAGTTTATTTTCTTATGCTGGTTACAGGTTGTTCAAATCCTGACACCTTTCATTCATAGAAGACCATATTTGGGGAGTGTATCTATCATTCTTCATGAATGTAGGTATAGCAGATTTTAACTTCATACTATATAAAGTTACACATTGTAGGCCCATACTGTAAACAGATCTTCCCTCAATTTGATTTGTTTCATTCTGGTCCATCACACTAACAATATTATAAAAGATAAAACAACTCTGTCCAGTGGGACTGTTGAAGTTTTTTACTACTTCAATTCTTAACACCCTTACATATTTCGGTCCCTGTAGACCATCATCAGAGGGACATCAATACTCTTTGGAAACCACTATTACAATGGGTGTTCTGAATGTTAAAATATATACACATACATTGTTTGTAATGCACAATATATACAAAATCCAATGTTTTCACAACTACAGCGGTTGTCTTGGTATATCAAAGTTTTTTAAAACTTTTTTTATTGAAGTTAAAATTTATAAACCAAATAGGTTCCTGTCCCTTCTCTTATCGCCTTTCTTGACGGGGGCCGAACTTGTGCCGCCTGTCTATCTTGTGAAGGAGGTTCTTTGATATCATCCTGTGTTTGTTCGTGGCGTGCTGTGTTGTTGTGTCCCTCTGATGATGGTCTATAAGGACCGAAACATGTAAGGGTGTTAAGAATTGAAGTAGTAAAAACTTTAACAGTCACACTGGATGGAGTTATTTTATCTTTTATAAGATCTTCCCTCATTAAAACAGAGAAAACCAAACTGCAGTCAAATCAATCCTGCACAGGAGGCCCTGGACTAAAATTATGGCCTGGAAATCTGTTAGTCAGACTGAGGTTCTTCATGCTTTTCCTCATGACCTCTAGGTAAATGCCAGGAGAGTTCTTCCACGTCCTTTCAAATTAATTATTCAATATAATCATCCTATCATTCAAATTTATATAATCTGAGCTGCTGTAAGCTTTGTTAAATACAAAAAGAATAAACAAATAGCATCAGGTAGAACTGATACGTACAGAAATTCCGTTGTTATTAATCACAGGCTCTGCAAGTTGTGCAGCAGACACATTCAGTCTCTCTGTCTCCATGCACCGGAAGCTGTATGACCCATGGAAATGAGGGTTTGATGACCAGGATGACCTAAAGACAAATAACAATCCTTACTAGAACTACCACTTTGAAAGCTTGAAAGTAAACTGAGCATCTAGTAGACATGTTACTAGTTGCAAAAACTGCATTTTAGAAAACCTTACAGGTTGCATGACTTTTACATCGCTTTGTGCATGAAAACAACAACCTATCCGAAAATATGGACTAACGATTATAATATTACTCTTCTTGACGTTATGGATATATGTAAATGACTCTAACAAGCTCAAGATCCTGATTTTATTATCTCCTTGTTCTTCCTCTTATTTTAATTAACACACATAACAAATTCTATTCTCACATGTAGTCCATGTACAAAGACTGAGTTTTCTGAGAAATGAGCTACATGGGTGCCATGGCGATTTAGGCTGCTAACAATAAAACTGTTTATTCATATGAGTCTTAGTCTCTCATATTGTAGTAAGTACACAGCTTGCGGGAATTTGAGAAGAAGAGGATGAGGAAAATACTTGGGCCCAAGAGTAAGTTATAGGAAACTGGATAAAAGTGTGTAATAAAAACCTGGTACTCTTCATGACATACTAATATGGTGATAAAGTTAAGGAAGCTAAGATTAATTGGAACATGTAACATTCACAGGAGATTAGAAATGCATATACAATTTTAATCTGAAAGCTGGAAGGGAAGAAGACATTGCAGAGATTTAGGTGTACACAGGTTATGACACCAAAATGGACCTTAAAGAAACAAAGAGTAAGTGTATGAATTGAATTCATCTCTTTCAGGATATGATCCAGTGGTGGATTCTTGTGAACATGGTGATGGGAATTCAGATTCTATGAAAGGAGAACGATCCGTTGCAGGCAAGTGACCATTGTCTATTTGAAGATAACTCTGCAACAGGTCTACAGATTCTATTACTTATGAATTCTTTCATTCTCATAAGTATATCAACACTGAGCATTCCTTTTTCCACAAGTGTGACAGCACCTCAGTAATTCTTCAGGTGATGGCACAGTTACATTGAAGGCTTTCCCCATAAACTCTCTGATGAATTCAATGGTTTCCTGCATTAGTTGTTCCTCAGGCAACTGTTCCATATGTCTAGCTGCAGAACCAGACAGCCAGGCACTCAGAACGTGAGGCTGATTGTCTACAACCTCAAACACATGTATATCATGCACCCAGCACTTCTAAAACAGAAAAAAAATGGCCTGTATTGCTTCTAGAAGAAGGAGCATTAAAAATTTACATGAGTCAATATTAATCTTAACAAATAGTGTACCACATCTTTGAGAATTGATGAAGATACTGATGTCTTGGTATTTTTTTAGTTGTAGAGCAGAAAAAAATATAAAATCAATTTAAGAAAATATGAGAGTTGTGTATGAATTCTAGGTTTCTCAGATAGTTGTTGCTCTATCTTCAGACAATTTTAGAAATACTCCCAATACCTTATATCACAGCAAGCAATATCAGAATGTTGTAGTTTAGCGTCCTGTTGCACTGATTTTCGTTCATGATATGTTTGCAGTGTCCATTTTTTAGTGCACTCAATTTCACTTCTCATTTCACAACATGTTTCGGCAACATAGTGCCATCATCAGGTGCTCCATTTACNCGTTTTTATTGGAGTGTGTAGCTTCAATAGTTATCGAGATATGGAAGATAACGCAAACCTCCATTTCAGCGGAAAACGCGTTTTTTCGCATTATAAAAACGCCTGTGCCGGGAGAACCGAGCAGATTACAATTTTTTTAAAAATATTTATAAATAAGTGTACAAAATATAATTTTTTTTAAAAATGGTGAGCGACCTCTCTGGATGATTTCACATGGAATGACCCCTATGTCACTGTATTCTGTTAAGTGTCTGGTGCAATTAATTTACCTGGTAATGTCTTTCTTACACCCATGAAACAGTCCAAATAGATGATATTATTCCATAGCATGCTTATAACTAAAAAAAAAAGAGCCCAAGATTTCAGAGGGGAATAGAAAATGAAATTTCATTACTAACAGGTTCAATGTTAAAAAGTTCCAGACTATTTTATGTGCTTGATGACTGAATATTTCATTCCTCACCTCACCAATACATGCAGCAGTTTCATTGGTTTTTAGAACACTGAAAACAGTAAAATTGTCAGGCCACCATCTGTATGGATACTTCAGAAGAATTTTATCAACGTTTCCAATACATAACCCCTGTAAGAAAAAACCAAGATTAGAAAACATAACTTTAATCCAGAGAAACATGTAGACTTAATTTTGTTTCAATTTCCACATTCCAGCCACAGGAAGCTACAAGCATCACTTTAATGAATATAGTCAATCATTCAGTGTTTCATAATGCCAAAACATTAGCACAAATCATATCTGGGTCTGTAAATAAGACACTATGCCTCTGGCTGAATATTTTGACTCAAAAAATTTTAAACAGTATCTGAATCTTTTAAATTGATGCAATGTATACATGCAGTTCACAAAACCTCCTTGATTCAGAGAAAAGATGAGAAATGCTTACAAAATTTCAATTACTTGGAAGACCTAAGTGTAGATATCAAGGACCTTAAAGAAACAGAGAGAATACAGGCTTGATTCATGCGGCTCAGGATAGTACCTCAACATGGAAACAAACAACAGATTTCCAAGAAAGGTGGGGAATTTCTAGACATGCTGAGTCACTATCAGCTTCTGAAGCCCATGTCCCATGACATATATACAAAATCATATTTTTTTTAAGAATATAGGATACTTTTCTAACTGAATAATAACAGATATTTCCTAAATTTATTGCAACAATTTTTGATACAGCTCCACTTTATACTGCTCAGAGTTCAACATATAAACCCACCATAAAAATACCCATAATTTATGACAAAATAATTAAAAACAATGAAAATTTCCAGGAATTTATTACTTACTTTGATTGCATTTAATTTTTGTGCTGGCAGTGCTGGTTGGAACATGAAATCTCCTCTTTTCTTCAATACACCAAGACTCAGGGTAAGAATAACATGATCTGCAACATGAACTGAACCATCTGAACATTCCACAGCAACTTTATTCTTATTCTCTCCAGATAAATTGTTCCACCTGATTTTGTTTACTTCTGCTTTAAAATTAGTTTTGCTTTCCACAGGCAATTCATTTGAAGGATCAGGGATTCTTTTCTGAAAACAATTCAAATCACATATTAAACATTAGTTTAAAGACGTAATTTTTGCGTGTTTCCATTTTTTCTCTGTCGGTATAGTTCGCTTGCAGACTAAAACCATGGAATTTGTTGTTGTTTTTTTTTGTTTTGTCCAAATATTTTAAGATTGTCAACACACCAAATGATCAGGAATGTACAATTATAATTTTATAAAGATATGATACCTGTAGAATCATTTGATTCTATAGGAAGAATATTCAAAACAGAATAACTGTATTTTAAAACATAATGTTTGATAATCATATGTATTATTGATTTATGATTCTCTCCAGAATGAGCAGCAACTCTTTGAGCTAAGTTCTACAATGCAAATGGCAAAAGAATTTCAACATTCATCAGTGATGTATTGAAGATTTTCAAATTGACTGAAAATGTCAAGAAAGCAAAGAACGTTCGATAGTGACTGAGATCTAGATTTTCTGTTTAAGTGTTTAGTGACTAAATGTGATCCATTCCAGAGGATCATAATCATTGATCACTTTATGCGTACCAAATGTTTGATGGTGCTCAAATCGGGGCTGATATGAAAAGTGCATGCATCATGCACAGGAGAAATTATAAATGCATTTGGAAAACCCAAAGGGAAAAGACCATTTGGGAGCCTAGATGGGAGGGTAATATTAAAATGGACCTAAGAGACATACCATGTGAGGTTGCAGACTGCATCCATCTGTCTCTGGATTAGGTCCAGTGGCAGATTTTTGTGAACATGGTAAACTTTTAGGTTCCATATAGAGAGGGATTTTCTTGACAACTACAGCGACTACCAGTTTCTCAGGAAGGACTCTGCTACATAGAATTACTTAGGATGGAAGCTGAAGTTCCTATACCTCAGTCCAGTTGTTTTATTATCTTGTACTATGCTTCTTATGCTCTGAGTGTCTCACTTTTAACAAATCCAGCACTGTTGAATACCCAGATTTCCATGCCCAAGTCTGCTTTCCTTTGCAAACTTGATATTCCACCTGACCATGGCCAGAAGTTTCATACCATGAATCTGCAGCATCCTCTATGTTTGAACCCTTATGGACCCAATCTAGGAAGGCTCTGGCAAGACTTGAGTTGCTCAGGGGATGTCCTTCCAGTTTTTGTTTGTATCTAAGTAAAGATGGCAATACTTTAAAAAACATTTGGAGCAGAATCATCAGATTTTCAACATAAAAATTCAGAGACCATTAGCTTGGTTTTCTTAGTTCCCTAAGAAGTATTTTCATATTATGTAAAGTTGAATAAGAGATATAAGGATTATTTTGACCAGTCAGTGGCATTCAGGTATCATGAGTTGTCTAATTCTAACACTTGAATGGAAGGACTAAGATATGTCACATCAAACAAGGGTAATCGCTTCAAACCCACTTTACGCTCTTCTATCTCTCATCCCCAAAATTATGAGAATGACATAAAATATTAATTTTCTGAAACTTCCTAATGAAAGAACCATGATTGATGTCAAGAAGTAGTTCTTTTGTGAACCATCTACACAAAGTTTAGTTTTCATTCCCTGAAGAACATGAGTTAAACATCTGATATTGGTTAGGATATAACTATATATAAAAGGATCTTATTCTTGATGTAACAGAGGTGAGTGGTTGCATCAGTGCTTTGGGGCAACAAGCTCAAGTGCCCACTGGAAAACAGACTGGATGGTCCCCACAGGAATTCTAGACATGTGACAGACAAGAAAAATATTACTGTAAAAATATAATGTATATTCTGATATATGCATGCACACACAGCTTGTTTATATGTATATCTGTATTACCCATACAATATCAAATGTTAAAAAGCAGTCATCATTGGTGTTAGGCATTTTTTGGGTCTGCAAGAGAAGACCCTCTAGCTTTAATACTATTTGTAGATTAGTAAACGGGTTTATACTATGTAAATTTCACAAGTCAAATTTCTATTGTCCATACATATTGCTATTATACCAAATTATTTCCTGTTTGCTATCATTAATTTAACCCCCCCCCCACACACACACACACACACACACACCAAATATCTAAATACAATACTAAAAAAATTCAAAGAATTTTCACCATGTAGTACTTATATATATAAATTAAATGATATTAGAGCTGTTTTAATCTCAAAAGTTTCCATGATGGTAATCTTTGTATGTTTGATAACGAACAGCTGTGATGTACCATGGAAGAGATGTCTCCATTAGCACTTGTCCATACTGAACTTAATAATTGGCCAGTCAGTGTTTATAACATTGATGCCTGGTATAAAATTTAAGGACACTCAAATAGATAAACTGACACATCTCACAGAGTTGGCCATAACCTTAAAAATGTATGTCACATCATTTGTATTTTGTTTTGATTCATTTTGCTGTTTATTTCCAGCATGGAGTTATTACAAATTTTAAATATATCTCTTTATTCTTCTGACATTCTGGAAACATAGCACATCTGAATATCATGGAGCATATAGCTGGGTAGTCAAAATAAATCCACAGGTAAGAATGTAAAGACTCCTACGTACTTGTGACTGAAGTATTCTCCAAGAGATCCTGTGTAGTTTACTAAATCTGTTTTACTGGAATTAGATATTTCACGAAGGATACCATATAGTTCTTCAGTTGTTTTTCTGTTAACTATGTTGCCAGATGAACCAATGAAAACCATTTTCTCAATATCGTAATTAATAACACTGTCCATCAGAAGGCCATACTGACTGGCCATACTGAAGACAGCATTGCCTTCTTCTCCATGCACCCACTGGCATCCAAGTTCAACTACACCATTCCCTGTACATGAATCACATTTCTGTATCACCTCCCATGCTTAAAATTAATTTCTTATTAATTTATTTCGAATATGCTGCAAATATTCCTTGTGTTTTCAATGGCATAAAGGACAACATTCTGGACAGGAAACAACAAAATTTTGGCAGACAGGCATCATATAACCACGTTGACTAATTGAACAGAGTTGAGTCCCTCTTGAGAAGGCAACAGTTGTTCAATTAGCTACTCAAGAAGTTCCCTGTCCTTTATCAAATCTGAAATTTCATTACCATGTTCACAGCAGTCAATCAGTAAGCCCTGTTTTGGATCACATGAATCCAGTTCACATCCTCCAGTCTCATTTTCTTTATGACCAATTTGAATATTATCATTTCATCTACACTTAGATCTTCCAATGATCTTTTCCCTTTGGGTTTTAAAACCAAAATTATGAATGAATCTCTTACCTGTCCATATGTGTGATATTCCCTGGCCATCGCATCCACACTCACTTGATCATTCCAATAACTTATACTGAACAGTGCAAATTAGGAACTTTCTAATTTTTTTTCAGTCTATTGTTACTTCCTCCTTTTTAGGCCCAAACATTCTCCTCAGTACCCTGTTCTCAAACACTCTCAATCTACGTTCTTTCCTTAATGTGACAAATGAAATCTCATACTGCTACACAACTACTTGTATGAAAGTTAGTCTTCATATTTTTAGACAGCAGATGGGAAGTCAACAGATTATGGACTGAATGGTTGCAAGCATTCCCCAAATTTTACCTGCTCTAGTGTTCTTTATAAATGAAATACTGATTTGCAACTGTTCCAAAACATTTTAAGTGCAGTAATTTTTAAAGAATTTATTAGGTGTCTTTTATGTTATGATTGTCCTGCATTCTGGTGATTTAACAAATACTTAGTTTTCTCTGCGAATACTTCTATACCATAGTCCTTATTTGCGCCCAATGATACTTTTCTATTTCTCTCGACCGTATTTAAATTTTGGCTCAGTACAACAAGTCAACAGCACCAACCAGAAGTTGATATCTATGTTTCACTTTTAATTCTTCTTGGTTTCCTTGGATCCTTCCCATCATATATTCTAAAGTAAAGTGGAAAAGCAGTGGCATTAATGAGTCTCTTTCAGATCATTAAGAAGCAATGCATCATACAAATATTTACATGGAGTGTACTAGAAGTTTTATTTAAAAACCTTCTAATTAAATAACTAGTTTCACAGGAACACTGAATTCAGTGAGAATATTGTAAATACTTCTTTCCTAATAAAATCATATGTTTACTGAAGTATGTGGTCTGATCAAAGAGTTTCAGAACTTTTGAAATACCGCACCAACTTGACGTCTTAGCAATGTCGGATAAATTGAGCTGCCTAGCGGTTTGCTTCCTGATATTATCCTTTCTGCCATGTCATCCTGCTGTGATTAGTCATAGCCCTAGAGTTATTTGTTCACATGCGTGTAGAGTGTGTCTTGTAATATTCAAGAAGGCTGATATTCATGAGCAGCATATTAACATTAAATTTTGCTTCAAACCAAGGAAAAGGTTTACGGAGATTCATGAAATGATGAAAAATGTTTATGGTGACCAGAGCATGAGTTGTACACGTTGTTATGAATGATTTAAGCGATTTAAGGACGGTCGACAGTCAACACATGATGAGCAGCGTTTGGGACGGCCCTCAACGTTAAGTGACGATGCTCATGTTGCGCAAGTTCGTGAAATCTTGCGCTCTAATCGTCGTTTGACAGTGCGGGAAATAGCAGAAGAGTGCAACAAAATCGATAGGATCATGTCATGACATTCTTATGACAAAATTAAAATGCATCGGATAGTTTCTAAGTTTGCTCCACGACTTCTGACACAATCAGAGACAGTCGCATTGCCATCTGTCAGGAAATTCGGATCGTGCCAACGAGGCTGAAAACATTCTGAAAAAAAAAAATATATATATAATCGGCGATGAAACATGAGTTATGAAAACGACGTGGAAACGAAAATGCAGTCTTCACAACGGGTTGGAAAAATTTCGCCGAGACCGAAAAAGGCGCGGCGGGTCAGGGAGAACGTTAAAGTCGCGTTGGTGGTGTTGTGCATCATGAATTCTTATGTTAGGGGCAAACAGTGAATCGCTGGTATTATCTCGAAGGGCTTAAAACTATAAGAGAAATTTCCAGGAGAAAAATTCCTGTTGTGGAGAAACAACTCCATCGTCACAATGGGCCATCTTACGCATCGATAATGATTTGTGATTTTTTGACCAACACGAACACATCTGTGCTTCCTCAGCCACCCTGCTCACCTGACCTGGCTCTGGCAGACTTTTTCTTATTTCCCAAACTGAAATCCAATTTGAAGGGACGACGATTTCAGATAACTGACGAGCCTACGGGATATTGCAGACGGAGCTACGCGCAATCCCGAAAAAGCGTACCAGGACTGTTTCCAGAAGTGAAAACGCGATGGGAGTGGTGCATCATTGAAGGAGGGAAGTACTTTGGAGGCGATAAGGCTCACTCAGTTGCAAGCATGTCCGAAAATATTATAAAAGAATGCTTCCGAAACTTTTTGAACAAACCACATATATAAATAGATAGTCGTAATGTACTTTGCTACCGAACTCGCATTTTTCCCCAGTACCTAACGAATGCAAAAATATCTGCTGAGCACTTGATCCATTATTCAAAGTCCACACCGATATTCCCCCATAATTTTTGCTATATATGGAGTTTCTCGCAAAAAATCCTAAAGGATAGAGACAACGAGGAAGGCCTACATACAGACAGGATGATTGGCTCATGATCACTGGGGTGCTCTTGTCGGTACAGTATGAGCTTTCAGGTTCTGTACCACGTTGAGAATATCTCGACTATCAGAGCAACTGTTAGCTTATTAAAAAGACTTCTCCAATTAGTTAGTTGTGATAGGTTAATCTTCAGAGAAAAATGATGAATACGATTTTATATTAGTAACAGTGATATGCCTCAATAACTATTACAGATAGTTTTATCACCATTTTCGTAAAAGGGTAAAAAATATGCCATTTCTTCTTCCACTGTTGTGGAAATTCTTCCTTATTCCAAATGTAATTAGTAAGTTTGTGGATATCAGTGCAAGGTTTTACTTATTGCTTGGATTAAATCTCTACGAATTTAAGCAGTACCTGATGATTATTACCTTTTCATATTTTCAATAGCAATTTCAACTTCAAGTAAACCAAGCTCAGGTAATAATGGCTCATCTGTATGTATTCCGGTCTGCTATCATACATAATTACATGTACAATCAATAGTCGACTGAGTAGGACACTGGCAATGCTGACTGAGGCTTTCATGGTTTTCCTCAGTCCATCCAGTCAAATGATAGGATAGTACCTTGATTAGGCAATGCTTCCTTCCAAATCCTTTCCAATTCATCATTCATCACTGTATAGGCTACCTACTAGGAGCCGCGGTGGCTCAGTCGGTATAGCGACAGGCTACGGGCTGGACGACTGAGGGGTCGGAGTTCGAGTCCCGGGTAGGGTCAAGAATTCTCTTCTCCAAGTCGTCCAGACTGGCTCTGGGGTTCACCCAACATCCTAGGCAATGGGTACCGGGGGGGGAGGGGGCTCTTTTCGGTAAAGCGGCCGGGGCGCGAAGTTGACCACTCACCTCCAACTAGTACCGAGGTCAAGAAAACGTGGATCTATACATCCACTCCTCCATGCGCCTTCATAGCGTAGTGCTTAATTCGTTAAGCACAGGGACAACTTTACCTTATAGCCTGCATAATGATGATCTAAAGTATTCCATAGATAAAGGAAAAAAATTATCATTTTGTATCATGTGTGCCTTATGTGCGCCATAGCACAGCATACGTTCAGGCTGGATAGAGTAGATAGCCTCCAGCTATGGTAGATAAGTAAGTAAGTAAGTAAGTAAAGGTATCCCTGTAACAGGCCGTGGAGACCCATAGGGTTGTGAGATGTCGAGGCTCCCACATTTTCTAGACAATCGGCTCATAGATGGCGGCAAGGTTGTCAGCCTTACACGCCGGCCTCCCTTTACCCCCAAGAACATTTCAAGAATATTCCTGGTACTCATTTCTGTTAGAGGCTGAGTCGACCCCAGGGCCATAGTGCGACTGGAAGGATTATGTCAATTGAAAAAAAATCCAATGACCTCATCGGGACTTGAACCTACGACCTTCCGGCTTGTAGTATAGTGACTCAACCAAATACGCTACCGCGTGCCCCCCCCCAGCTATGGTAAGTAGCTGCAAAATATATTGAATACGCAGTCATGGACAAACAAAGAATGTCTTGTTGTACTGTATCATTCAATTCGAGAATATTTGGGGAATTCATTTGTTTCTCTGGAATCTGAGCATTTGAATTTACTCCAAGTGAACAAAAGTAGAAGCTTTTCGGAATTTTGACATTTTTCTATCTCTATTCAGTGCTTGAGGTGGAATGAAAATAGAACCGGGATGGTTTTCCCCTTTTAACAAAAAAAAGGTATTGCACGTTGCATTTACTGCCAAAGAAGTAACGGGATGCTTTTAAGCCATTTAGAAAAGAACCGGGATGCCATCCCGCCGCATCCCGCCCCACCTCAAGCCCTGTCTCTATTAATATTTAAACATAAGTATATATATATATATATAGGCAGGTGATCTGAATGCTAAACGCCAATTTTGGAACAGTGCAGTTTCAAACCCTTCAGGCGAGAAAATATTGACTTTATTAACCATGAAGGAATTCGAGATTTCAGGGCCACAGTGCCCCACTCATTACTCTCCTGCGGGGAATGGTGACGCACTCGACATTTTGGTCCATCAAAATATTAGACTGTCACGTGTGGTCATTCTGATATCCTAAACTCAGATCACCTAATAACAGTATTCCACATATTGGGAACGGTTTCAAAGCATTGCTTCTGATTTAATATCACCTAGAATCGAAATTAACCCTGAGGAAGAAGCCTATAAAGTGGTGCGAGACGTTACAGTCTCTATAGCTTCAGTGTAGAGACTGCTTACAAGTAAAGTTTGGCTCTCAGACATAAAGAACCATGATGTACCTGGATTAGATCTTCGGTTAAAATACAAGCAGAGACTATGAAAACTGTGGCAAGAAACCCGGGATCCATCATGCAGAACGGAAGCCAACTCGGTCAAGAAAACCATCAGAAAAAATGACGAGCAGGAAGGCACTTGAGAGCGGGGGGGGGGGATAGGGAATTGTGAGGTCACACCTCAAGCACGTAGCCTATTTCGAAATCCGTCACGAAGAGGGACGGACCAAAGGCACGAACTTCTGTCTAAAGTCCTTCCGGCCTTAAATACCCTCCGTTAGATAAAGTCAACACGATAGCTGACCGTTTGGAAAATGAGCTCACACGCCATGACCCGTGTGACGACAACCATATACGGCGCCCAGAGTTCAAGATCTGCAAACATACTTGAAATTTAGAAAGGCCTGAGGGATGGATGGCATTTCAAATGAATGTCTCAAAGAGATCATTCGTACACCTAACACATTTTATCAATCATTGCATTCGGCTTTCACATTTTTTCGGTGTCTTCGAACAAAGCAAAAGTGATAACTTTACCGAAACTCGCTGCAGACCATAAATTCCTGAAAAATTTATATTAGATTAGCCTCTTGTCTACAACAGAGAAGTTATTAGGGAAACGAATTCCGAAAATAGTCCAAAGCCACATTGCAGAAAAAGGCCTCCTTAATGGTTTCAGTGCGCGTCACAGCACCACACTGCAATGCATAAGGCTTACAGACCACACGACCCTTAACTTCAACGATACATCTCTGGTTGCGGTATTATTGGATATCGAAAACGCCTTTCACACGACATGGCTCTCTGTCTTGCTATACTCGTATAAACTATCCAAATTGGAATTTTCGGCCAGTTCGATCAAGCTTATTAGATCTTTTCTTTCGCAAACAACAACTGAGTTTCGGTAGAAGGTGAAATGTCTGAGTCAAGGGAAATTCAAGCAGAAGTTCCTCAATGCTCCCTCCTGTCTCTTACGTTGTACAGTTTGTATATACACAATGCTTCCCAAACACAAGGTGTTTATCTACCTTTGCTGACAACGCCTGTCTGTATGCAACAGATCGCAACACGACACTAAAGGCAACGAAACCACATCGTGATAGACAATCTTCTTCCTTTAATGACAAGAAATTTCAAGACACGAACCACTGGTTCTAGTTCTAACAAAAAGTTTTCATAACTTACTTTTAAATACTTGACTGTGTAAATAAAGTACTTGTAATAAGTCGTAAATGTTCCAACCACTTCATGTACTTAACGTGGTTACAAGCTATAATTTTATATATTAATGACATTGTAATGGTGGGTTCCTAAATGTTGATTGTGTCCTTCTGAAGATGGTCAATCCGACCGAAACATGTTAAGGTAAATGAGAAATTGAAATACAACTTTTATTAAGTATTCACACTGGACGGTGTTGCAAGTCATTTTATACTATTGCTAGTGTGACGGATCAGGATGAGCCATGTCAAGCTTAGAGCCCGATACTGGACTGAGAGGCGTTGAGTACTTTGCATATATGAGTTCATACGTTTGTAATGTATTGTACTATGTATTATAGATATAAAACAAAATACTTTGTACATATTGACAGCTGGCATACCATAACACACATAAATGACTTATACTACTGGCTATGAATCTGACAACAAACGACAGACTCATTCTCTGGTCAGAGAGGGCGCCGTATCAGAAAACTGTAAAATTCGGTCATGAGCCCCTGATGGGGCTTGACACCAAAATGGACTGGCTAACTGACCATCAACCGTAACATGACTGACTCTGATGGACATACAAGGGTCGGTTCTCCAGTTTAAGGGGTGAGGGTGGGGAAATTTCTCCTCAACAAATATTATCCAGTATATCACAAAAGTTTACAAAACAAGACTTGAAGGCAGATTTAAGAATTATTGTTTCTGTTGCCCTCTTCTGTTCTGCAACAGAGATTATAATTATCTGAAGAACCTAATTCACAAATGTTTAGGTTGGCTGGTATAATTAATTCAGAATCCTTTCACTGAAGCTGACAGTCCCTCTGGAAGTCAAACAATCACCTGCCATTTATGGAACCCAGAATTTCATTAATGCATTCACAAGAGCCTACAGATCTATGGATATTCCTAAACAACGATAATGATGAAAAGGTTTAATACATATCTGAATCAGCCCAGAATGACAAATTACAATCCAACAACTGGGATGACTCAAAGGTAAGAAGTAAAGCTGTATTCCAACAGTGTAAGAAATGTAAGAAAAAGTATTTGTTAGTATTAACTTAGTAAGACAATCCCTCTGGCCGCACTAGGCCCTGGGGTTTACTCTGCCTCTAACAGAAATTAATTAAATAATTTTCCTGGGGAGTGAAGCGTGGCCGGCGCGTAAGGCTGACAGCCTTACCGTCATCTTTGAGCCGATTGTCAAGGTAATGTGGGACCCTTAACGTCTCACAACCCTATGGGCCTTCACAGCCTGTTACAGGGATAGCTTTACTTACTTTACTTTACTTTACCCACTGAAATCTAAAGAGGACAGGAGGAGATGACAGATTGTGGTTTGAACTGTTTGTAAGAAAATGGTAATGGCATATTCTGTGTAATAAAAGATGAACATACCAAAAGGGACAGTGTTAATTCGGCCACCAGTTCGGTTCTCTGCTTCCAGAATCATGATGTTATCAATTCCATGCTCCACGAGTGAAGTTGCTGCAGCAATTCCAGATGCGCCCGCACCAACAATTATGACACGCACTTCACTAATCCTGATCAAAGTAATGTTGTTAGCAGAGTTCATTATTTTAATTAAGACACTTATTACAGTTCATTAAGATGTCACACTTTTGAAGTATTATCATTATTCTTAATGTTATTATTGTTTCTATAATAGTTTCTGGGAAGAAGAAGAGAGGTGGAGAATGCAAAATAGAGGTGGGATGAGGTAAAACATTGAATGAGTGTACTACAATTGCAGGGATGTGGAAAAGCAGAAGATTCTAAACTGAATGATAGTAAGCATTCTTGAGTTTAATCTGCTTTTAATCAAATTATATACATGATTTTGTGAAATATCTTTCCTAATAGTATGAGATTTGGTCCTCATGAAGATTATTGTCTTCTAGGATGTAATATAGTGTGGTAGATGTTTACTAACACTTTGGAGGGCACAATTCACAAGAATATTTCTCATATGGTACATTTAGTTGATTAGTATGACACAAAATTAAGCTATTATTGATGCATATAGTTGGGCAAATCCCCCAGTAAACCAAATTCCATTTTGTAAGAGAAAGACATGGTAACTTGTCAAGCCTTATGAGGACATGCATCTCTTTTCAATAGTTCTTTATTCAGGGGAATTAAATTAATAAACGGACATAATGAGAGTGTACATTAGTCAATACAATTGGAATAAGATATTTCTTTACTTCTTTTATAACATGAAGTCTAACATAAAACATGTAATTTCCAATAAAAGACGCCTTACATTCAATTTATAAAAGTATGATATTTACACAACTTTTAAATTTCTTGAATGTAACTGAGGCTGGGAAGATATCTACTATTTACTTGAAAGTTTTCTGAAGGTGTTCATGAATTGATCTCCAATGTTTTAGTGAGCAGAGTCTAACATAAATAACCTATATCTTATACACACTTTATTTTAAGAAGTCCACCAAATTCCTTTTTGAATCTTCTGTATTACAATCCTTCATGTTTCATATTAATATTATGGCATGTAGACCCATTGCTAGGCAATGACCACAAAACTAGACAATAGTCCGCAAACTGCAAAAGAGTAACGGTGTTTTCTGTGCTGCCAGTGCCTAGGATGTTATAAGCAGGGCACTTAGTGAGTCAGAATTAGGAAAGTCACTCAGAGTGTAGGGAGTAGAGTCTGAAGTGGAGTTGGAGTGTTGAGTGAGTTACAGCAAAGACAGGAGAAGCAGAGTGAGCTACTGAGTTCACAGTCAGAGAGTAAGTCAGCTACACCAGGTCTTGATTGGATTTAGTGATCTGAACGAAAAGCGCGTTGGACAGAGTGGCTTTTACGGGCTTCATTTTATGCAGTGTGTTCAGGGCCAACTCCTGTTTGGCAAAGTTTGCTGCCAGGCCATGGGTGTGCACAGTGCTTTGTGAAACATCAAAACAAATGGTGAGCTTGAGTGAACGCGAAGATGGCAGACATCCCAGTACTGGGATTCCAGAAATACTGGTTACAGCGGCTAGCACAGCTGCAATATGAATGTCATGTCATTGCAAATGAATACCCAAAAGCAGCTCCTGAAGTGCAACAAGTATATGAAGTACTCAATGACAGTGAGAACCTTGCCGGATGCACACAAGATAAAGTGGGGGAAAGCTCTGGGTGGGCCTCTATTGTCAATAACACGGACAACAGAGCAAAATACTGCAAAGCTCTATATGGGAAGACACTTCTGAGTGTTCTTTATGGCATATACGTGGTAACAATGAATGCTCTGAAGGACATCCTGAAAGTGAGTGCACAGGCAGGACAGGGTGGTAAAAAAAACCTCAGAGGAAACAATGACCCAGGACAACTTCCATGAGACGCAAGAGACATCTCTCTAATAATACCTTGCGGACGGCCAAGAAATAGATTAAACCAGTCCCAGCATCCAAAGCTGTCAAGCTGTCTCCAAAAGCAGTGTTAACTCACAACTTCTTCGCACCTCTCAGAACTACTGACATGGACATGTACACTACTGGTGCAGAGAACATACTACTTGAGCAGTAGGCTCCCAGAAAACCAGGTAGGCCATCACCAATAATGACGACTTTACCACAAACATCATTTGACACCAAAGTGACTTAAAAGACCACATCAAAGGGAAGTACGAGTTCCAAAATATAGGAAATGGAAGCTGTGCCATAAACGAAAAAGAACTGGTGGACTATTCGGCATCAGTTGAGTTGACATTCAGTCATTCTGAGTTGTTCTGTGAGAAGCTGGTAGCCGGGAGTAGTTCAGGAACCCAGAGGAAGGGTTGGAAGCCTTTACTAAGCATCAGCTAGTGACTGTGGACACCAGTGTATGTGTGCGTGTGTGTAATAGTGAATTGTAGATTGTAGTCATGTGCTGCATCAAAGAGTGCAAGAAATCAAATCAGTAATCCAAAACACCTCTATAATCATTCATACATGACAATATATTATGTGCTCAAAAATATTTCAAAACAAATAAACAACATTTTCTACTCTTTAACTTTATTTCTTTATGTGTAGTTTAGGACTAAATATCTGGCGTCCTGTCCTTACAGTAGGCTAGCTGCAGTCTAATGCTCTTTACTCACATCCATTTAACATTTTCTGATTCTTTGTTGATAAAAATATTCATTTACAATATTCAAATTTCAACCTACCTTCTCATGGGTAAAAAAATATCGGTTATTATAAACAATGTCACTACCAGCAATTCTGCTGTAAAAACATAAATTGGCCACATTCTTATATTCTGCAGACTTCCGTGTCTCTTTTCTGTGAAACTGAGGGGTTTAACTCACAAGACAAATACTACTGACCTTCTTTTGCAGAGCATACTAAGATAAGAAGAGGTGGATGCATTGGCTTATAAAGGGGAAGCATGTCATATACAAGTAGAATGATTTAATCAATGCTCATTATATAATCAAACAAATAAGGAGTTTGAAATCAAGCCAGGGGAAGTACAAAGAGCAAATGGAAACTAAACTGGGTGAAATTCTTATATTATCTGAAAGGCCTGTTAAATAAACATTAAATATAATGGTACAGATGAACCATTATGCAATGAGGAATGATACAATCATAGTGACTATTTTTAACCTAACAGTCTCCACTGGATTCTTCCATTGAACCATTCTGTATTTAGGAGGTAACTGGATTGAGTACTGGACTGAGGTTTTCAGGATTCTACAAGCAAATGTCATTATATTATCTCAAAATAGGCCATGACCACTGCATACTACATCTTTCCTACATCAACATGAACAGACAAATTGTTTTCCTTATTTGATGCCATAGAACTAATGCAACTGACAGAGTGTTATCATACATTAAATAAATGTGGAAAGAGTTTTGGGGGAATTTGTGAATTCCCCTTCATTTCTTCCTCACTCAATTGTGCAGCATAATTCCTAGCCCCTAAAGTTACCTAAACTGTCAAACTACTTGATCTTCTCTTCCTTAGAAGCCGTATACCTCTGATATAGAATTTGGTTAGGAGTCACAGAAGATCCCAGATTTGGCAAATTATTTCCTTTCTTTATGAGTTTAATAGTATATATAAGGTATATTTACAAGATCAATTAGCACAGTTATATTTTGACAATCTTTTGTACAAGGCCTATTAAATGAAAAATGTATACAATATATCTTTTGATAATTCAAAGGGGAGAGAGGACTATGCATAGATGGAAGAAAAATATTAAAATGGGTCCCTTTCAGAGCCAAGGCATCTGGAAAAAGCCTTTCCTTCCTCATCATTACTATCAACTTCTTTCTCCTAATTTTTTACTGTCCTGTTTATTCTATCTTTTCCTCCTTGCCTTTTAACCCCCTTCTTCTTTGTCTTCTTTTCCTCTTTCTCTCCTCCTCAATCTTCCCTGCTTCTTCTTCTCTTCTTCCTCCCTCCTATTCGTCCTTCTTCCTTCATCATCTCCTATCCTCCCCCCTTCCTCCTCCTGTTACTAATCCACCACTTCTTCCTTTTCTAATTCACTACCTTTTGCTTCTCCGCAACGTCTTGACTTATACAACTGTGTGCTCAGGGTCTGAAAGGGTTAAAGGAACAAGGTGTGAAGCTGGAGACTTATGCAGGCTTGGTAACCTCCTGAGCAAATGCACTAATCTGAGTCAGAGTCAGGGTCAGAGTTACTTTACGACTGGCGGTTTACTGCCAATCAGTTCGTCTCAACACCAAGCCCTGTGAGACTCATGGCCAGATTTTTTTTTTTTCAGTTGATCACTTATACAGTCTTTATGTAATATCCTGTCTGATGAGAGGATGGGTGTACCATTTACAATTGTTGCTGGCCCCTACCAGCGTATTCATTCTCAGGTCCAAGTCCAAGTTTTTCTTTTTTTTGAGGTGGCCGACCTCTCCACAAGGTACAGTTCCTCATTTTCCACAAAACGCTGGGCACCCCAGTTTCTCACTTCACGAATTCCAGTCCGAAAGCCTTCCTGTCGAAATCCTCCAATGTCCTCTCGATCTTAAGACACTGCTGCCGTCTTGTGCCTTGGTTCTTCATTCGCTTGCTGCCTTGCAGCTCTGTCTCAGACCTTGGTCCCTTATGCCATTGTTGCATTCTGGACCCTTCCAACATCTCTTCCGGAAGAACGTCCATCCTTTCCGGGTTTCTTGATTGGCTTTAGTAGCACTTCAGTTACAATTTATCCTAATTCTCCGTCTTGACTAGTCGTCTCCTGGCAATGGATCTAAACACAGAAATTAGCACTTCAAATCACTATGAATTCTTCTTGCCTTTTCTTGTTCAGTCAGCCTGGAACCTTGGAACTCAACTAAAAACTCTCTTGGACTGCCTTCTCGGTTATCCTTGAGCCTCTTATAATTCTTTTACATAGACCAGACAGACAACATGTGTCATGTGGCAGACTGCGAGTTCATTGGTCCGCTACCAGCACTGGGGGTGGTGCAGACTATGTATAAAACACAGCCAGCTCAACTGTTGTGTAA